AAAAAGGTAAAAATTTGATTGAAACTATGATAATACCGATGAGGATTTCAAAAATCAAGTTGTCAACATTGTTTAGTTGGTTATAGAGCTTGCTGAAAAGCCAAATATCTCATGTGGTCTAAATTATTTAAAGATATGACTTAAGGACCGAAAAGCACTATGAGATAAATGATATAGAAATAGAGGAAAGTTAAAGTGCAAAGACTGAATAACCTCCTTCATATCACTATAACTTTCCTCTATTTCTAAATTATTTCAGTCTTTTTTAAAACCTGTCTCTGTCCATACTCGTCTCATTTTCATTGACTTTAAGACTAGTTGCGCCAGTAATCCATGTCCYGGCAACACTACATGCTCAGGTGACTACCTAACAGAGTCCAAGCCGTATAAATGTATTTGTCCGGAAGGTTATACAGGCGATTACTGCGAAAAAGGTATTTTCTTATGAAACTTTACTCTAGTCAATTGCTTCACTGTGTGAATATAGCGTCTRTTATGCAAGTAATAATATGCGATTTTACAATCAGTARSGAWTATATAGTCAATCCCATAAACGTTKTTCAGTGGAAAGACATMAAGCAACATCATTAGCATCATTAGTCATTAGCATTTATCATACTTTTAATTTCTTTTCAGGAATATTCAAMATAATTTTCTAAAACTTCTTAACAGTGACAATAACATTGAACTTAAGTTTAAAATAAAAATTCTTCCAGTGAATTTTAAGCACCGTTTTATGCATATGACTTTGTTGTTGTCTTTATGTCTTTACAACTGAACAAAGTTAATGGCATCGACTGTATCACAGATAATAATACTATTGAGCACTTAACACATGCATGTGTATATTAATTCAGATATTGACGAGTGCAAAGCAAGCAGACATAATTGTCCAGCGGAATCATTTTGCAGCAATACAATTGGTGGATTCAACTGTACTTGTAAAAGTGGTTTCCACGGCAACCAGTGTGAAGGTAGTTTCTGCAAATGCGCCATCAACTTGCATTTTTACCACATATGATAATTTTCTCGCTTTCTGATTGGTCGAGAGCCGTGGTAAATAAAGTACATACCATGGTGCTGGGAAATAGCGGTAAACTAGTGTGAGTTGCGTCGGTGTTTCTAAAGAAACAGTTGAGTAAAAAGATAAATTTAACACCGTACAAAAGTAGGTGAAATAACTTACTGACGTTTCGAACGTTAATCCTTCGTTCATACCACGGATGTAGACCAATAAGAGAATTGTTTTACTATATTTAACCAATCAAAAAGCAAAAAAAGGATGTACCATGATTTGTTGAAATAGATGTTTTGGTTCAGTTTGAAATGAGTTTCAGTTGTTCTTTTAGCTTGCAAACGCGCGCAGTAGTGGTTAAACAATTATTTGTGGTAAACACAAATTCACGATAAATTTGTTAAAGTGCATATGACACGAATTTTTTTATTTGAAAAATAGAGTCAATAGAACAAGCATAACAGGTTGGCTAATTACCACTTGATGCAGGGCTTGAAATTTCAGAGAAAATCGGAGTTAAAAATCCATTATGCTAATTTGATGACGTCAATGTGTATTGCTTTAAAACATTTCAACTGTGTTTTGTAACAAGTGTTCCTAATATACCCATGTCAAACTTTGAAAGATTGTTTTTGATTACATAACAAATATCTTCTACAAAACAATAAGGTGACAATAAACAGTCGGACAATTTTGTATAATTAATGAGTTACACTTTGACGTAAAATCCATTTTTCTCTGAAATTAGAAGCCTGCATCCAGTGGCACTTTACAGAACTATTATTTTCTTCATATTGATTTTATTTTCAAAACAAAAAAAATCATGTCATATGCACTTTAAATAGATAGTAGATATGTTGAACCAAAATAATGGCTAACAATTGGGCTTTTCCTAAACGAGCAGGAGACTGGGTACTAGTTATCTTAATCAACCTAATTAAAAACTTAATAGTATCATTGGAAAGACCACCTCAAAATAAACAAGATTCCAAAGTTTGGTTGCTTTTGGTTAAATAATGTGTAAGAAATGGACCTTCAAAATGTTCGAAAATTACAAGGAATGCATGGTTTGGATGGACAGTGTCCATCCATTACATACATTTCTTCCAATGGTTTTCCAATGATATGATTAATTTTTTAATTAGATAGCTAGTACCCAGTCTCCTGCTCGTTGAGGTAAAGGCCAATAGGAACTAGTGAAAAATGTTGCCAACTGTGTTGAAACAGAAGTCCAGAGACATTGAAAGAAGAAAATTGGAAAAGGTGTGAAGCGTGAAGGAGGTGAAGCAGGTTGAAGTCGAGAGGAAAGGTCTGGTGTTATAGGGAATGAATTACACTTTATTATGTCTGCCCACTATTGTCTCCTCAGGACTTTTAAAAATAAACAAATTGATAACCGTTTTAATATAAAACTAATATTTATCACTATTGGTTTTGGATACAGCTATTTCAAAAAAGGTTGTCGGATAAAATGGCGAATGGCTGATGTCGAAGGGAGATTGCACGACCGAAAGTGACCATGGCTACGCCGTTTTGACAAACATATTGGGTTCGCCTTGCATAGAAATGGAGTCCAAATAAAAGCACAGACTGCTACCTTAGAGTATATATCAGTTGTTATTTCTTAACAATTAGCAAAACCCATGACTAATTTCGGTCGTGCATTCTCCTTTAGACATTAGTCCTTCGCCATTTTATCCGACAGCCTTTTTTGAAATAGATGTATTATGCTCTAGTAAAACCATAGGCACAGATCAATTCTGTTTTTATTTTCCACCAGACATCAACGAGTGCGCTTCTGATAAGTATAATCTGTCTCACTGTGAGACATGCACAAACATCCCTGGTAGCTATATTTGTGCATGTAAGCCGGGCTCAGAGGGTAAGCCATTAATAAGTTTTCAATTTTTTTCTCTTTCTTTTTTTGGGGGGTTCTCGTTTTTTGTTATTTTTGTAGTCTTTTCAATTGATATGTCTTTGTAAGGTGCGAAACGCCTGCTATTAAAGAAAAAATTAAAAAGAAAAAGAAATAGTACAAAGAAATAAAAGTTTGAGATATTGTTTCAGAACTGAATAATCTGGACAAAAACTAGTTAAACACTACGAAAAGGCTAGGAACACCTCGCTACCCAGTGCCGATATGCAGCTGTGCAGATCAAATCTACTCAAATTGTGACAGCTTTTACTGACCACTAGTATCTTATGGCTTTGAATTATAACTAAATGCTGTGGAACCATGACATCTCTTTTGTTTGTCTTTTCAGCTTGGATTGTATTATTTGACTTTGAGACCGGCAAACAGGGATGGACTATGACTGGAACAGTGTTTAATAATCAGCCAACGTACGAAGACAATGCCGGAAAAAGAGGAAAACCAGCAAATATCAATGGAAAATGGTGGATAGGAGGATATGAAAATCGACCAAGTCCTTCTCATCCAGCAGGGAGTGTACAAGGTGATGGACCTGTAGGAACAATGACGTCACCGCCATTCAAGATACGTGGATCNCTGTATAAGACACATTAAGAAAAGTAATTCAATTATCAACAAATAACAACGATTGAATATTCAAATAAAAGGAGCGAATACATCGATAAAAAATTTAGAGGGATTTTGTTTAATGACCCGACTACAACGGTGTGAGAACGAGACAAGTCACTGTATGTAKTTTTGGTGTATTTTGTGCCACAGTCAGATCAGACYTCTTCCTCATTATTGTACTTGCAGGCGCGTAGCGTGGACGTTTTGTCTAGTACGCACATATTTTGGATTAGGAGACTAGCGACCACCGACACGGGAGTATCAAGTGGGGTCTTTGGGGTCCTCCCAGGAAATTTAGTCATAACTCTTGGAAATGCGATTTCCAGCGTTTTGAGGTTCTTTTTGATAACAAAGATTTATTGGTTGGAGAAGCAAGCAAAACATATTAAAAAACGAAAATTGTTATATAATTTCCTTACCACTAGCACTCACGTGCGTATTTGCGTAAAGGACGCTACGCGCCTGACTTGGTTACTTCGCGGTCGTGCCGGCGAGTTTGAATCACCGTTTGATTTCGAACYCAATTACCATTATCAAACAAGCAAAATTTCGTTGCTTGTGCATCTGAGATATAGTTGAGGTCAGGTGTTTTTCAGTGCTATTTTACTGATGGTTTGTTTTGTCGGACTTTCCGCTTTAGTGAATAGATGAGGTAACGGTTTTGGCGGCCATCATGGATCGGTAGGCAAAGTGTCGCAAAACGGGAAATCGATGTCGAATATTTCTTGCTGAATTCAAATTTGGAAAGAATCAATTGCAAACGTTAGATACTACAAAAAGGAATTAAATGGCCAAGCTTGAAGGATGTACTTCATCTAGGGAGCGAGTAAATTTATTTTTGGTTTTCAATACATTTCTTTGTAATTTTCATGTGCGTCACTCGCTGATAACCCCTGAAATTACAGAGAAATGTTTAACTGGCACTTGTAAAGGATAAGGCTAAGAAACGACCATTCGAATCATAGAAACGACGAAACGATCCAGAGAACGACAATATGAGTATCGACTAACTATTTTTGTCCCCAAATTAACTCCATAATGGAGAACTTAAAATAAGTTTACTTGCTCCCTAGATCAAGTTCGCCCTTCAAATTTGGCCAGTTAACTCCTTTTTACTGTATCTAACATTTGCAACAGATAACTCTTTCCGAATTTGAATTCAGAGGGAATTATTTAACATCGATTTCCCGGTCATTCATTTTTATTTTTAGACGGACTAGCCGAAGGCTAGGTCGACTTTAGTTTTACCTTTTAGCCTATCAATCAATCTATCTATCTATGTATTATGTCGCGTTTGGACCACCGGAAGTTAAGAATTTAATAATTAACTATTGGGTTGGCTGTGTTATTACATGACCGGAAGCTCAAGCGTATTGATGTACGAATATCG